GGCTTTCACGCCATTGTTTTTGGAGCGAGTCTTCGCTACACAAATGCTATATGGCGATGACCCAAAGGCACTAGAGATGGATTTTCGTGGATTTGTGGAATTAGATGTAGCAGTTAATACGAGGAAGGTAAGTTTCTTCCTTCTCCTATTCCCTGTAAGCACGTCTCTAAAAACTCATTACAGGAAACTGCGGCGATAAAGTGGCTATTTCGTATTCTCGATCTCAGAGATGACGGCTTCCTGGATCGTGATGAAATTAGGATGATGGTAATCCTGACTTGTAATAGTTGATCGTTACCAAACATGAATTAATGAGATCTCAGACTGAAAGCATGGTGGCAAATTTGGCCAAATTGGAAGGATGGTCGAATTTCAACCCCGATGATATTGCTGATGAAGTGATCGATATGATAAATCCAAAAGACCCGAATAAGTAGGCTTATTGTCCAGTGTTGTTAAGGATCGCGAAGACAGAAATTGCAGAATCACCGTTGATGAAGTCATCGCCAGTCGCATGGCAGACACTGCTATAGGGATATTAATTGATTACTATGCTTTCCTGAAATACGAAAATCGTGAGGAAGAATCAGCATCATGAAGCGAAAGTTGTTTTTGAATGTTCTGTTTTTCTTATCTCATGTACTGTTTCCTTACTGGTTATATTCATATCACCTTCATTTTTCATCACTAATCACTGCCTCTTTACATCATAAAACTTCCTCTCATGCTTTTGCCACTTTTCATTATAAATCTCTTTTGTAGTGTTTGCTGTCTAAACAAATGTTTTTAACGAACAGCAAACATTTAATAAAGCGATCTCATTTTATATGTAATGAGCTTTAAACTGCGAGCGTAAAGAACAACAAAAAACATGGAATAATTTTTAATTACCAATGCTTTACCTCTCTTCCGGAGAGGCTCACATGCTTATTCCTCGGAGAGCTATATTGAACAGTTTTGAACAGTACTCTCACGTAAGCCAAGAAGACATCGTAAGTGCATTCCGTTGGAATATTGAAGTTCCAAATCATCAATATCGTGTAAAACTTCCATCTTATTCATAACAGCGTATACAACCATTCAGAATGAAGTGAATTGTACAAAAATGGGTTACAATATGTACATTTAGTCAATTCTTCTTGAAAATGTCATTGTGAAATAAGATCGTCTCACCCAATGCCTATACCGAAACCACTACTGTAGCCAAATCCGCCAATAGGAGTTGAAATACCGAATTGTCGTCCAGCCCCAATAGAGAATAGACCGCCTCCAAATCCACCACCATAACCACCATAACCTCTTCCGTAGTACGGATATCCGCCGCCGTAACCGCCATAGCCGCTGTATGGATAACTAAATTGGCTAAACGTAATTGTTTTTTTTTCAGTTTCTTTCCCAAGCAAAATTATTTTATGGA